TATAGAACAACCGTTTCCGAGCCTAGAAGCAACAGAGTCTTATCAATGTCCTCAGTAATAGACTCAGTTGTCTATTCAGTCTCAGTCTAAAGCTCTGCTTCAACCAGTATACACTCTCAAACTGCTATCAGATATAGCAGCTCAGTTTACAAGTCTAGTATCAGTGTAGGACAATGGCGTGTATAAGTCCTAGTACCAGTTAAACAATTGAACTCCTGATCCTCCGTCATCAGGTCCCTTAACACATCAGCCTATTGTCAAGGTATTGCCCTTGACCCTACTCTAAACCCTAACCCCAGTACTCACTTGTGTGGTATTGGTAGTTGCAAGAGGAAAGCTTTGGAGGGCTTGTCTTGAGAGTGGTTAACTCAGAGGATGAGTAGGATAAAGTAGACAAAGTATGTTCAAATAAGAACAGACTGCCATACTACACTGTATTGCTCTGGTATTTATACATGTGGGACCAGACCCCGGATACTGCAGGTAGTACACCTAATACCTATGATGACTAATGCTTGCAATACGCTATTGACTATCTAAGAATACCTAGTGCGTAAACCATTGCCCTGTTCATGTGTTAGGTCAGCAGTCTGATATGTGATGATTACCTGAATGACCGTGTGTGTGTCTAGTACAAATGGGGAAATCTTGTGTGAACATTATGATAGCCCATTTGACCTGCTTCTGATAAGTAGACACCTGAACTAGTAACCATGTCACCTTGCATTATGTATTCTTATCTAGGTAGATATCTAATCAGATAAGATATAGATCATCTAGATGCTGGAGATAAGATAGACATCATGAAATTCTGTGACACCTATGGTATGTGTCTGTATTTTTGATTTTGATTAAACCACTACTAATTGATCTTAGTTGCTATACTAGGTCTATTTTTTTCCTGTAGCTTGATCTTTAGTGCTGAAAAGAATTATCAGTCTTTAGCTATAAACTGTATGTATTTTATCTTCATACATCACTACCTGAACTTATTAGATATTATTTGTAGTGTGTAATTAGAAGTACATTTTTACAGTGAGTTTTTTTTTCACCTGCCACATTGGTAAGTAGGCTTCTCTTTTTTATTTCTGTGCTAATGCTTGTCATGCTAGTGGCTTACATACTATTCACTGGCAACACTGGCTTGTAATAATGTGGTCATCACCTGTTCTCTATGTTATCTACTAGCAGGATGTTATTCTACATCACCAAAGAAGTTGGTATATACAAACTTGAGATAGACTACAGCTGACATAGTGCCTATTTGTAGGCATTCCTCTATAATCCAGCTCATTATGTATACAATCAGGACTGGCATACTGACAAGATATACCTATCCTGGTTTCACTAATTGAGCTTGACAATAGTTGCTGAAAAGTGATATTTGTTTCAGTGTATTGATATTCCTGGCTATTGTGATGGTAATGACCATTTGCTTTACCGGTATATATAATAATATGTCTCACACTTCAAACAGATGGCAAAATTAGCAGGGACCTTTACAGTTCTGTGTGTTATAATATTTCTCACTGAAGGGATGTCATTCTGCCTTGCACCTATCAAATGACCATAGAATTCATACTATACCCCAAGTCTATGTGAATTCTTGTATGGTCATGTATGTATTGCTTTATCAGCTTTTTGAAGCCCATAGACCCACTGAACCTGCCACTGGAAACAGGTTGAACTCTCACAAGCATCTGTGTGCTTCAGCCTTTGAGGTCTGCTAGAGGAAAGATGTAGCCATATCTTCACTTGGCCCATCTTCTCATCATGACTCTAGAGCTACATGATGCAGATTCCTAGATGCTAATAGCTCAACACCCATGCAGTTAGTTACAGAGCCAACTTGTCACACATATGTGCACACTATTTATATGCGAGCAACTACCACTGGCACTGGCACTTTGAGATGTCTCCCAAGAAATCACATTGCAGAAATCATAACCTACCTTGCAAGGTACCCAATACCTGGCAATACCTGGCAGAAGGGGCCATCAAAAGGAGCTGTGCGAGTATGTGCAAGTGAGATCACATCTGCTCAATAGTGACAGGGGCATACACCAATGGAAAGAAACCAGGTCATAGGTGCTTGGATCCTTGTTCTCGCGGCACCCATTCATACTAATAGCTCACAGGGGCTGTGAGTAGCATAACATTTCCAGGGTGTGTATATCCTGGTCACAGCTGCTTGAGCAAGTAGCCTTGAACCGCGCGGGGCAGCGCTACGCAGAACGCATCCTTTCGACGCCATCGAAAAGCACGCGAAAGGCGCTGAAATTGTGCGAGAAGACTTTATCTAACACACTGCAGGGATCTGACCTGTTGCCATAGTTGAAAGTAGCGTTTTGCCTTTCCAAAGCTGCGAAACGCGCCCTTGTCGAGCCTTCCACTAGGTCACAAAGCAAGTTTTTCTGAGTCTCGCAAAGGGCCCATTTCCTCCTCCTCGTGGAAAGGACGAGTTCTGTGTTGTGCAGCTGGAGTGCGCCGAGATAAGTTCCCGCCGCAGCACGCTCCGTGTGCGCATATGCAGGCATGAGACGTCGAACCGGACGACGCGCAGGAGGTTTGTGAACTCGGAGAAGCTTGCAGGACAGCGCAAAACGACAGCTCACCGGACAGCATCTGGCACCCCGTGTCGCCACAGTGCAATCGCCCGCGCCGGGCGGACCATCCTCCGGGTGGAGAACACCCCGCCTTGCAGAGCGAGGGCAGACGAACAGGAAAGCGGCTCCCTCGCCTCGCCCTCCCCCGCCTCGGCCCAGCATGATCGCAGTACCCGGTCCATAGCCAGCGCGCCGCAAGCGATGCCAAACCGCCTCGAAATCGCCCCCTCTGCCCTCCGTCTCCGTCCTGGAGAAGGGCAGGACCTCCTCTTCAACTTCCGAATCCGACGGCCCAGGTGAGCCGATGTACTAATAGCACACACACGACCCTCAGCGGCAGCCGCACATGTCCGGGTAGGCCATGTAGTAATATACACCGCGAGCCCCGCGAATCCCGGCGCCGCGACACACAGCGGAAGGACCGGCCTGCCCCGCGCTTCCAGTTCGCGTCGCAGAGCGTATATAGGCAGGCCAAGATCGGCGGAGAGGGACATAATGCCCAACTCGGTGGTGCGCGGAGGGGGGGAAGGGTAGCTGGCGACGTTCAGACACGGCGCACGTGCCGCGCACCGCAACACACCGTGGCGATTTCACAAGAGCACGCGTGTACTTTGCATACGCGAAATACAATACAGCCTTCGGACGCCCGTCATGCAAAATTCAAAATTCCAAATTCCACCCCAGACTCACTCTGGTGGCAGATGCTCCGAGATAACCATGAACACCGACACTCCGACCGCGCATAACTACGACCCTTGGCTTATACGCCGCACCGGCACTGAGCCAGGCCAGGCCAGGCCTCGCCCCGCGTGCCGGGTGTGTAATTGCCGGACTCGAGCCCCCAATATGATGCATGATGACTGAACCCGCGCCCAAACGCAGGGCGACCCGGCGAATCTAATCACCCATGCGACACGCACAAGCCGCACGCTACACGCACCCTCATACGCTATCAACGCATCTATGCATGCGCATTGAGCCACAGTGATATCAGCCGCACATACACTACATATACACAACGCACAACGTGCGGGGGCGGCGGCGCCAAGGGGATATCCGCGGCGGGCGCGCGGGGGGGATATGTACATACAACCGACCAACAGAGACGACAACAAGCAGAACACGACGCAGAGCAGAGAGTACGAGTACGAGTACGAGTAGGGTACGAGGACAGATCATACGGTAGAGTAGGATAGAGACGAACGACGCGGCATATACGGGACGCAAATGAACTCATAAATTAGCGGCAAGAATGGGGGCAAGAAACCGCGCAGGTGGGGCGGCATGCGGTATATCGTCGGGAGAGGGGGCGCCAGTCGAGAACGAAGGAAAATGGAGGGGACGCGCGGGAGGACCATCCGAGTACAGGGTCCGGCAAGACGACACTGAGAAGATGAGGGGAGATCGAAAATCCGAAGACGGGGACACCACACACAAGATGCAAGCGGCAAAAAAAAATAAAACACACCAGTATCCTCTCATCGAGCACTGTAGGCAGAGGGCTGGTACGTCCCCATCACTCCGGGGTATGTGTACGGCGTCGCCTGCTGCTGCCCCTCGTACACACTCACGCCCTCTCCGACGTGCGGCTGGCTGCGCGCATACGACACGCCCGCGCCACCCGCATATACCGGCGCCCCTCCTCCTGCGCTTCCCACAGCGACCGGCGCCGACGTAGCATCCACGGCGCCATTCGTCTGGTACACAGGAGCGCCATATGCCTGCTCCGCGCTTTCGCCGAATCCGAGGTCGTTCAACATGTTGCGCCAATACACTGCGTCATGCTCCGCGACAGGTTGCGCCTGATACTGCACATACGTCGACGAGATCCCCGACAGACTATAATTCGTCAGCGCTCCGTTCCCTGCGCCGCTGTGGCTGCCCGGGCGGGCGTCCGTCATGGTGTGGTCGGCGTCACGCACAAGCGCGTACGACCCCAGCGAGTGCGTCTGTGCATACGGCGAGGCCGACGAAGTCGAGGACGACCCGCACACGCTTGGCGGCTGGACACCAGACGCGCCTGACGATGGCGAGCTGTAGTAGCCATGATGGTCCCCCGAGCCCGAGCCCGAAGAATGTCCGTACATTGAGTGATTATATCCATGTGCCGAGTGTCCGTTGAGGGCACCATGGCCAGGCGCGCTGTGGTACCGAGCCTGGGCGGGCATTTCGCGCTTCAGACTCTCCTGCTCAGCCTGCTGCTGCATCTTCTGCACGTCGTTCGCGACAAGGGACGTCAAAAATCGGGCGTGGTACGCCGCCGACGCAGACGCAGGTGACAGGTGGGCCGCGTCCTGGTACGCCTTTGCCGTTTTCGTGATCATGGCGTGAATCTCCTGCGCCGCACCTTCCTTTAACTCGCTGAGCGCGTTAGAACCGCGGAGAAGCTGTTAATTTATCCCGTGTCAGCACATGGTCCCGAACAGACAGAAATGAATTGCTCGCCTTGAGTAGAACGACAGCCGAATACGCTGTCATCACCGTTGTCGAATCCTGTCCATATCGCTGGGAAGACCGCTCAGCACACCAGGAACGGATACATTGCGTCTCCTAAGTGACTCACCAACATCTGGATGCGCGCAAAATCGTCTGCCATGATTTGAAGATTTTCCTTCGCATCGGTGTAACACGTATTGAGCGCTTGCACGTTGACGTGACCAGGCCCTTGCGCCGGCGAGTTTATACCAAACGTGTTGAGGAACAGGCGCACATGCAGCTGGAAGAACCGAAGAATCGAGAAATGGAACTGCTCGCCGCGCGCTATGGTGCTCATCGATTAGCGCACGCTCTAGTGCGCATAAAGAAACAAGCCCACTTACCGCGCTGGAGTTCGTGAGTCCATTTCTGGCCCCATTGGTTCAGCTTTTGGTTGCAGTTCCTCAGCAACATCTCGTAATTGACGTCGGCCGCGTTCGCAGCGGCGCCCATCTGGTGCATGTTGAACACGTCCGTGGTCTCTGCCGCTATCGAGCGCAGCTGTGTGAACGCCGCCACGATCACATCCTCTTGTCTGATTGGCATTGAACCCTCTTCATGCCACGTCGTCGCGTGGCGGACTAGGTCATCTTCGGGAAGCATCCAGTGTTTCCCATGCTGCATGCTAAGGCTGCGGTCGTGAACGAACAGGACCATGTACGTTCGCTCGCGATTGCGCCGCTCACGCATCTGCACGTCCGTCTCGCCTGGCTGGCGCTTGCCAACGTAGCGGTTCAGGCCGAGCTCGACCGCCATACGGCACGCATAGCCAATGTATGTCCACGTGCGGGTGTCGTCCGGCTCCTTCCAGTATGTCATGCACGCAAACGCCTGCACGACCTCGGCACTGCGCCAGTTCTCCGCGAATGCGCGCACGGCAAAGTCGTGCGCGAGGCGCAGCATGGAGAGATAGAGCTCCGTCTTGAAGAACTTGCAGCAGGCCATGACAAGAGTGGTGAACAGGAATGGACACCGCGAGCGCACGTACGCCACCGAATGCAGTGCGGGATCGAACAAATTGATGAACGGGTTCAGGCGGATGTAGAACATGTCCCACAGGTGAGCGACCGTCTGTTCATCAATAAGACCAGCCTCGATGGGGTCCTTGAGAGGCGTCTCGCTGGTGAACAGCCGTGCGACGGACACCTGTGGCTGCGGCGCAGCGAAAGAGGGCGGAGAGTGGGTGTGTCGAGGGTACCCTCTGTCTGAATTGCCAGGGGAGTACGTCGCAGTTGGCTCTTCCTGATCTGCAGGGTTGAGAATGGTCTTGAAAAACGAGTTGTTGCGTGCGTTCTGCTGCTTGATGATGCGTGCGGGGTACATGCCGCTGTCGGCCTTGTCGGTCTCGTCGGCCTCATCCATCTCGGAGTCGGACTGGTGGGACGAGTGGGGATAGGCGCTGTGCATGCGGGGCGGAAGATTGAGCGGGGGGAGGTCATTTGCAGAAAAACGCGAGCTGCTGCTGAGTGGGTCGGCGGGGCGGGAGCTCTCGCCCGAGCGAGTGTCATGGAGAGGGGGGAGAGTGAGGGACTCGTCGACGGAAGACTTTTGCTTGGCGCTGTTGTAACCTTTTTCGAGGCGCCGAAGCATTTTGGATGCCTCGGACAGTCTGGCGGATTGTGAGACATTGTTCGTGCAGCATACAGGGAGCGCATACCTGGAGCCAGGCTTGCGGCCACGGCGGTGCTTTTCGAAAATACATCTGGAAGCTGTCGGTGAGCCGAGGGAATGCAGATAGGGGGAGGACAAACGGACTCTGCGCCGGAGCGTTTGCAGCGCTGACAAGGAACATTGTTTCCGTCGTCGGCTCCAACGCACTTCATCTGGACAAGACGGGGGCGTTGGTGTGTGGACTGGCGATTAGACGGTAGACAGACGTACTTTGGCAGCTCTGCAGACGGTACATGCGCGTGCACCTCTGACGACGGGGGTCTTTGCAGCGGCCGCGGCCGCGGCTGCAGCTGCTGCAGTTGCCGCGCTGGAGAACATGAGGTCAGGGCGACGAGGAGAGAGACACAAGAGGACGTACGGTGTTTTCTCGTCTGAGAACGGTGCAGGTTGATCGGGGATGGGGGACTGTTGAGGGGCGAGAGGCTGGTCCATGGTGGGGATGAACACCGAAGGCACGGTAATCAACGGGCGCCGGCGATAACAAGGCCGAGTGGGAGGACGACGGGAAAAGCGATTTGGTCGCTGTGTTGGACGGTGAGCAAGGCGGATGGGGCGGAGAGAGCGAGCGGGGAGGGGGAAGAGGCGGGGCGGGGAGGGGAGGGCTTTTGAGGCGGAGGGGGAGGGAGGGCAGACAGCTGATGGGCGCGGGGCGTCGT